AATGATAGACTGAACACCTGAAAGCTAGATGAGGAAGTGTGCACACTAATACCAGGGACTGGATGCACCCTGTGGATGGCCACAGTTGGGAAACACTAGTGGAGCACCTATCTACCACGTGTGAGACCCTGAGTCTGAATTCTAGTGCTAGAAAGAAAGATTGAGAGAAAGATGGGGGGAGGGGGAGAAAGAAAGAAAGGAAAGAAAGAAAAGAGAAAAGAAAAGAAAAGAAAAAGGGAAGGGAAGGAAAGAGAAGGGCCTATTTCACATTGGATCTTGAGTTGAGGGGATAGTGCCAGGTATAGATTTAGAGGAATCATCCCAGTGGTACTAAAGGAAGAGCTTGGAAACCCCAGGATTCTCCTTCCTCCCCATATCCCCATATCTGTTCCTGACCCCACCAGCTACGTAATAAGCATTGCCTACACCATGACATCAGGTCCAGGGATGACCATCTAAGGAGGGTTTTCAGGAGGGTTTCCCATGTAATGGCTTCCACACACACACACAGGGGAAGACATGCGAATGTGTGCCTCTTAGTGAGGCTTCCAACCCATCTTCCCCTTTTAGGATGTGGACTGTGCCTACCTGCGCAAGTCTGACATGGAGGCCAACTCAGAGGCACTGACCCAGGAGCTCGACTTCCTGCGGCGACTGTATGAGGAGGTGAGGGGCCACAGAGCAAAGAGTGGCAAGGAGGATGTTAACTAGTGGGAGGAGGGATCACCATTTGTCTTGTCAACGCCATGGTGGAGTGGGGTGCAGAGCAGTTGAAAGACCTGAGGCAGGTTCTTGGAAAATAAAAGAGCATATGCAGGCAAGCCGGAATGTCTGGTTATGATAGTAATACCCATCACAACTTGGTAAAGCCAGGTCCTGGGCCCTAAGGATCAGGTTAAAGGTCTTGAGTGAAATCAGGCAGTTGGTCTTAAACATGAATTTTCTCTACCTCCTCCTCTCAGCCCTGGGACTCTAAACCCAATGGGGCCATTGATGTCTCAAGGTTGAAAGGAACAACTATGAGCATGTTGGGGGGGGGTGAAGCAGGGGAAGGGAACAGACAGAGACTACGAGTTGATGCAGTTGATAGTAGGCCTCTACATTAAAAAGCACCTCTACTTGCCCACCTCCTCCTGCAGGAGATCCGTGTCCTCCACGCCCACATCTCAGACACCTCAGTCATTGTCAAGATGGACAACAGCAGGGACCTCAACATGGACTGCATTGTGGCTGAGATCAAGGCTCAGTATGATGACATCGCCACCCGCAGCAGGGCTGAGGCTGAGTCCTGGTACCGCAGCAAGGTAACTGTTCCAGGAAGCTGCCTTCTAGACAGTGAGAAGGAGCAGTTGCCTCCTAGAAATGGTGGGGTGGGAAGGGAGGGGCCAACAGCTCTCAGGCAGGGTTCAGGTCAGGGCTGCCATTGGCTGGTTGCACAGGTTGAGTACTGTCTAGCGTGAGTCCATGGGCACCCCTGTTTCTCTCCAGTGTGAGGAGATCAAGGCCACAGTGATCCGACATGGGGAGACCCTGCGCCGCACCAGGGAGGAGATGAATGAGCTGAACCGCATGATCCAGAGGCTGACGGCTGAGATTGAGAATGCCAAGTGCCAGGTATGGGGCAGCTGTGCCCTGTGCAGGAAGAGAATGGGGTCAGCAAACAGCAAAGAATTTAAGTTCAGTTCCTTGTCAATGTGTGGGAAGAGGAGCAAACAGCAAACAGTCTTGCTATAAGAAATGTTCTCATTCTGTCTGAAAGGAGAGGGGGGAGGATGGTGAAGGAAAATGAGGTGACGAGGGATTTCCTGGTCCCAAGGGCTGAAGGATAGAGGAATTAACTCTAGTTTGAAAGGTTCAGAAAAGCTGGGCTGCTACTTGCAGGCCATGCAGTTTGAGTAAGCCATGGACCTCTCTGGTCCTGCATTCTACATCAACAATCACTCACTTAGACATCAACAGAGCTAGTAAAGGAATACAACAGGCTATATGCAAGGACATTGAGTTAGGCCAGGGAAGGATCTGCAAGCCAATTTGAAAACACCAAGGGCAGAGCTAACCAGAGTCAAAGGAGACAGGTAACCCAGAAGGAAATTGAGATCTAGTGTGGCCAGATCCTCTGATTTTTCACGAGAAGCTATGAATCTGGATTGTTACAGGAAATGTTCAAAAGAGAAGGCACTGGGCTAACATTCCCGGGAATGTAGCTTCCCTGGAAGCTCTGTCCTGATGCCAAGACTTCTTACTCTGAGAATGAAGCAGAGGACCTCAGTAACCCTCCCCTTCCTTCCAGAACACCAAGCTGGAGGCCGCAGTGTCCCAGTCTGAACAGCAGGGTGAGGCAGCCCTCACTGATGCCCGCTGCAAGCTGGCCGAGCTGGAGGGAGCCCTGCAGAAGGCCAAGCAGGACATGGCCTGCCTGCTGAAGGAGTACCAGGAGGTGATGAACTCCAAGCTGGGCCTGGACATCGAGATCGCCACCTACAGGCGCCTGCTGGAGGGCGAGGAGCACAGGTGAGGCTCTTCACTTTTCCAAGGGGAGAGGAGCCAGGAGCATATTTGCATGTTGTTTGCATCTGATTTGCATCAGCATCATGTAGAGGGGAATTTGCCAGGGAAAGGATCTCAGCATTGCCTGGCCCAACTAATATTGGTCTCTTTGCTCTCCCCAGGTTGTGTGAGGGTGTTGGTGCCGTGAATGTCTGTAAGTAAAATAACACTGTAACTTCTGAAATAAGAGCTCTGGGTTCCCAAGGGCAAACGTTTCCTAAAGGGTGAAATAGTAAATAGTTTAAGCTTGTGGGTCATGCAGTTTTTGTCTCAACTACTCAGTACTCTCCTTATGAGGTGAAAGCTGTGACAGCCTTAGGCCAAGATAGGTCTGCTTGGATTTCAGTACAACTTAGTCTACGGAACAGGAGGCCAGCTGGTGGCCATGATTTGCAGAGACTAAGATGAAGGAGGCGGTGATAACTTAAGTTGCTGTTGCTGCCTCTGGGGCACTTGGGCTAACTATGAGTCTATTGTAAGGTGTACAGGAGAGGGAAAGGGGAGTAGAAGCTGAGGGGAGAAGCCCAGAGCAAGAGGTGGTTTTGGCTCCCAGGTACTGGCCGCCATTGACCATCTGTCTGGGGCTAAGACTTGTCTTCTTCCTGCAGGTGTCAGCAGCTCCCGGGGCGGGGTCGTGTGCGGTGACCTCTGTGTGTCTGGCTCCAGGCCGGTGACAGGCAGCGTGTGCAGTGCCCCATGCACTGGGAACCTGGCAGTGAGCACGGGCATGTGCGCGCCCTGTGGCCAGGGCTGTGGCAGTAGCCGTTCTGTGCGGTTTGCATAATGCCACCCCACAACCCTGCCACCCCCACAACCCAGTCTCTGCACTTTGGCTATTCCATGAACCACAGTTCCTGCCTCTACTGTGTTCCTGTAGCCCCAAAGGCTCCCTGGACTTGAGGAAGAAGGGCTAGAGTCACCAGTGGCCTGACATGGCCTCACTACCATGCACCTCCATCTCATCTCCATTAGCGCTTGTCCCTTCATCTCTTCCAGGGCTGGGCTCCTGGACCATAAGTCTGGTGGGGCTCAGCCACTCCCAAGTGTGTAAATGACTGCTTTCTTTGCTGCTTTGGGCAAAGACCCAATCCCAGGAGGCTTGGGCCCCTCTTGCTTAGGAGGGACAAATTGGTCCCAGGGTCCTGTGGCTCTGCATCCTCCACCTTCCCAACCATGCTATGGTGGTGACAGGCTGTCTTTTGCTCTCCAAAAGGCCAAAGTTCCAGCTGCCTGGGCTTCCTTTCCTCTCTTCTGCCTGGTCTTCTCGTTACCAATAAAGCTCATGGTCATATATGATGTGTGTTCTGATCACCTCCTTCTGGCCCTGCCTACTTCTTGTCAAGTAGACGTCTTGCCAGCCCAGAACTGTTTACAGACCTGGAGGAAGGGCTGTCACTGGATATCCTGCGCTTGCTGTACACATGCTCCATCCTGAAGGGTAGAGAGGGTGAGTTGCAGCCCCCAAGCCCTGACACACAGCCTGGAAGGAATTGAGGGGCTCAGGGAGGACTCTACTTAGGAGAGGAAAAGCCTAGATCACCTGACACACAAGGTAGGGACCTCTTTACTTGCGACTACTGGGACACAGTGATCTCAGCTCCAAATCCTTGGCCCATAGTGTCAAATACATAGACTCTAATAACAACCTTTAAGTCCCCAATGCTTTCCTCCTTACCACCACCCATTATCAACCTCCCTTCTCCCAGGGACCCCAGATATAGAGATCACTCTCTTCCTCCCCATGATTCACCAGATATGTTGGAGACCTGACATTTGGAGGCCCCCGGCCATAAAGCAGGTCCAGGAATCATAGAGACATCTTCCCTCTACCCCCATACCCCACTCCCCACCACTGGATCTAGACACAGCCCAGCCTGTTCCTCCACCTAAGGATTTAGGCACAGACCCCCTACCAGGACATACAATCTGAGATACCTTCCCATATACACTCAGACCACCCGCTACCACCACCCCAGTTACAGAGGGTCCTCCACACACTCAGTCACACATATGGCTTCAGGGCTCAGAGCCTGGCAAACCCAGTACCCAGAAAGGCTTCAGAAAGATGGCATAAAAGTTGGCTGGGCCACTCAGAGTCCAGGCCTGGGGTCACCATATGTGTGTGGCCTTCTCATTACAAGAACAATGTGTTGTGGCAGCAGAAGGCCTAAGGTGTCCACAGCCCTTCCACCCTGAGCAAAGGAGGACTTTAGGGCTCACTTGCTGACTGTGCCTTCCTGTGCCTCTGTAGGACAGTACTGGGACCAGCCCCAGTCCCAGCTCTGGGAGAAGATTAACTGAGCCTCTTAAAGCAGCACCCCAAAATACCACATGCAACCTCAGCTCCCTGCATCAGAGCCTTCCTTAATGTTAAGGAAGGTCCTGCCTTCTCTGGTCCAGCCAGGATACCAAGCATTGCATAGGATACATAGCATTGCATACCCAAGCCTCTGAGGGACTCTTTATTGAAGCTATTTGTATACCAGTTTCAGGCATTTTTTTTTCCATCTCAGGACAGGGATGGGCAGTGATAAGCTTCCAGCGATGAGGGCAGAGGGAGAGGGGGCTCTGCACACCCAAAGCTCAGTTGTGGGTGCTCCTGCGAGTGGCGGATGTGGTCCTGATGGAATAGGCCTTAAGGGCCCTGGGTCCCCCGCCGCTTGAGAAGCTCAGGGCATTGCTTCCCATGGTTCCTCCGAAGACCAGCCCTCTGCCACTGCCCCCGATGGAATTCACCATAGCTGGGAGAGAAAGGCAGAGGCTCTATTGGTGTGAGACCTCCCACATCCCATCCACCCCATACTCCTGCCCCTCTCCCTCACTTCTGCCCATCATCAATGACTCCTCCATCAGCCAATCCAAAAGAAGCCTCTGATGGGACCTTCCCCTCCCCCATCACCCTGTGCCTTCTTGTACTGCTACTCTGGACCATGGAGCTAGACCTCAGCTCCAAGGAACCTGCCAGCACTCTGGAAAGAAAGGAGACCCTGACCCCACAAGCAAAGGTCCCAGACTAGTCTGCCATTCTGGACACCCAGCCTGATCCGCATAGCACAGGATAGGGGCTAAGAACTCACAGATGTTCACAGCTCCTGCTCCATCTTCCACCAGCCTAGGGACAAAGGACAGATAGATTAATGTAGTTCTTGCCTCGATGCTGATGACAATGACTCCCAGTCCCCACTTTCCAGGAAGGTCCTCACCCCTTTCTTCTTGTCCTATACCTCCAACCTGCCTTCAATACTGCAAAATGCTGGATGAGTGAAGTCAGGAAGGATTCCCTTAAACACTTCTATCTCCTGGCCATATGACCCCTGGGCCACATCCTAGAGCTATTTCTCACTTATACATTGGAATATATATCATATAGTGTGTGTGTGTGTGTGTACTGAAGTTTGAACTCAGGGCCTACTCATCCTTTTCACTCAAGGCTGGTGCTCTACCACTTAAGCCAGAGCTCAACTGCTGGCTTTTTGCTGGTTAACTGGAGATAAGAATCTCCTGGATACTAGGTACCAGTGGCTCACATCTGTAATCCTAGCTCCTAAGGAGGCTGAGCTCTGAGAATTGAAGTTCAAAGCCAACCCAGGCAGGAAAGACCATGAGACTCTATCTCCAATTAACTACCCCAAAAGCTGGAATTGGAGCTGTGGTTCAAGTGGTAGAGAACTAGCCTTGAACAACAACAACACAAAGCTCAGCGATAGCTCCCAGGACCCTCAACCCCCTTTCTCTCTCTCTCTCTCTTTTCTCTCCTTTTCTCTCTCTCTCTCCCTCCCTGACGCCCTCTCTCATACACACACACACACACACACTCTGAAGGACTGACCCCCCACAGCCTGTTTTCCCAGGTGCATAGAGCTACCAGGCAACCCACCAAAGATAAGTGCAGACTACCTGACTCCAGCAGGGTAATCTATCTAAGCCTGGCTGTAAGCATTCCATCATGGGCCCAACTGTAAAGCCCCCACCTCCTTTGACCTGGTGGCTTTTTCATTAACCTCTGCCTCAGACCTCATAAAACCCAACTCCTGTCCCAGCTCTGACACAGTCTCAAAGCCCATAGGAAGGCTGTGTCTTTGCTGCTCTATCTCAGTAAACAGTCTTCACCTATGGAAGATGGGACCCAGCCTGTTTCCTTCCTTTCTCCTCCATTTCCTCACAAATACTCTCTCTCTTTCTCTCTCTCTTTCTCTCTCTCTCTCTCTCAGACATTCCTGCCAATGCTGGCTTTGAATCTCAATCCTCAGATCTCAGCCTCTCAGCCTCCTCATTAGCTAGGATTCCAGGTAGGAGACACCAGCATCAGGCTGGATGGAAATTTTGGGGGGCAGGGGTGTTATTTGAGATACAAGACCAAAGTCTGAGGCTTGTCTGTGTTGGTTAGATAATATAATTTACCCACAAGTCCTGTACACCCAGGATTTGGTAACTGGTAGCTGTACTTATCATTTATCATAATCTGCTTTCTCTCATCACATCATAAAGTGCTAAAAGTAGGTTGTTGACTACTACTGATTCCTGTGTCTTCAGCTGCCTAGCATGAAGCCTGGAACTAATAGTATTTAATAGGTGTTGAAATAATTAATGAATTGTTGACTGACTGAATGAGAATCTAGCTAAGACTGAGGAGGGACAGTGGGTGGGGTAGCTTTTGGCAGCTTGTGGAGATGAAACAGGAATTACAGTGGAAATTAGAATCTATTCTGAAGCAGCTGGGTGTGTTTGTTCTGTGACTCACAGTCCCATTGTCACCAAGCCCTAGGGAATCTGTTTGTTCTGCAAGGGGAAGAGCTAAGAGAATCTAGCTCCCACCTAGAAGGGAGCAAGAGATGGGCTTTCTAGAAGCTTCCTGAATGCTCATTAGAATTTGTGAGCGAGAGCAGGTTATATAACGAAGCAGCAATTCTACGTAAGAATCTCTGGTTCAATGTCTAACAAATTTACAAGAAGAGACCTAAATGTCCAAGTTTTCGTGATTTGTGTGATTTTTTTCCATATTTTAAAGTGTTACTGTGCTTATTTTTATTTTATTTTACATGCAGGCAGCCTAAGAAAGACAAAGGAAATATGCATCTCCTGAAAACTTTAGGCATGCTAGATTTTTTTTTCCAAGTTGCTACTTTCCTGAGTGTGCTTAATTTTATAGTTGTAGCTTTATATTCTTAAAGGCCCCCTGAACTGTATAAATTTCAGGACCATAATCCTGGATTGGCTCCAGGTAGGACTATAGGGGTAAGGGATAAATGCTAAGTATCCCTCTCTGCATCTTCTGGGATAGGGAGAGCAGTCTCCTCTCCAAGAACCAGGATGGAAGTATGACTCACAATCCAGACTGGGAAAAGCTTTCAGGAGAGGTGTGTGTTTGTTGTAACTTGAGGCACATCCCTTACTCTCTCTGAGCTCTAGACCTTTCATTAACCCATTGGAGAAAGCCAGATCAGGTCCTTCTGTAAAAGCCATCATCCATGAATTCTATGAATTAATGAAGCTCAGGTTATGGATTCCCAAGAAATTGGAGACTCAAGGCCCATGGAAATGAAGGTTGCAATGAGAGGTATTTTGGCTAGAGCTATCCTGTATCCTGAGGTCAGCATGATTTTCCCAGAGGTCTTTGATGTTCAGTTTCTCTTTCCACAAAGAAGCCTGGATGTACCCACGGAAGGACAGTTCAAGTTCAGAGACCCTTCCCACATCTCCCTATCCCATCACACCTCCTGCGTCTCATTCTCCTTCCAAGATCCAATCTCTAACACCCTCATTCCTTCCTCTTCCTTTCAGCTCCATCCACTCTCCATCCTCTCCCCCAACCACTCAGAAAAGGTTCTTTCACACAGTTAGCACTTTTAAAATGCAAGCCCTTTGTCTCTGTGTGCTTCCTTGGCAGGTGATTTGTCTCCTCAACTGATGTGTACTCTCCCTGAGCGCTGAAACACGTCTTACATGTTAGTTATCTCTCTGTGCTGGATTCTAACAAGCATGACAAGTCCTCTCCCAAGCTTTTGCCCATACTATTGCTTCTCACCTCTGTAGATCCTGACCTCTCCTGAGAGCAAGTTGAAAGCCCTATGTGTTGACAGAAAGAATCAATCACCCTAAGAATGTATGAACCAAACCCCAACTACATAGATGAAGCATACCTGCATGAAAGACTCAAACAGTCTTTCATAAACAATATCCTACCGGACTAACTCATCCAGTTTCTTTTCTGATTTGCAGGCAAATATGCAAATTTCTCTGGAGACAAAGGAAATGGTCCTCTTCCAGGGCAGTCAGCACCATGTGACTTAGCTGAGGTATGTGGTGAGAAGCAGCCTGGGCTCAGAAAGATGCCTGGATTACAAACCGATAGGCCTTGATTGAATTCTTGACTCCCCTGCTCCCTCACCTAACAAAAGTGAACTCTTAGCTTTTCCCACCCTGTAGATAGTGGAACCAATACTCCCTCACCTATTTCTCTTGAGTATATGCTGAGAATCAAATCAGATACCCTGCTAAAGCCAGGCTCTGGTAGCTCATGACTGTAATCAGAGCTATTCACAAGGCTTAGATCTCAGGATCTTGATCCAAAGCCAGGCTTGGCAGAAAACTCCTAAGACATCTCCATTTAACCAGTAAAAAAACAAACAAACAAACAGTGGAGGTATAGTTCAAGTGGCAGAGCACCAGCCTTGAGCAGAAAAAAGTAAAAGCCAACCAAGAGCACAAGGCTCTGAGTTCAAGCTCCAGTACTGGCACCAAAACAACAACAACAACAACAAAAGATATACTGCTAATGTCCCTTCCTTGAATGACTGACCCCCCCCATTGTCCCAGGCCCATACAGGTGCCAGGCAAAATCCTAGGTATGTACAAAGTTGTTTGATGTGCAGGCAGAGCAATCCACCTAAGCCCAGCTGTAAACATCCCTTTGTGGGCCCAACTAAAAGGCCTCCACCTCCCTTGACCTAGTGGCTTTTTCATTAGCCTCTGCCTCCTGCTCAGAGCTCATATAAAAACCCAGCTCCTGTCCCATCTCTCTGGCACAACCTCCAGACCCACAGGAAGGTCTGTGCCCCTCCCTGTTCCTCAATAAACAGTCCTCGCCTATAGTCCCGCCTATTCCTTTTCCATTCTCCATTTTCCCAACATTCATCACACCCTGTAGCCTTTCCTTCTAGAAGATTGTCTGGTTGAGAGCTAAGCAGCAAGCATCAGCTCTGTACCTCTGTACCCTGTGCCCTGCAGTGGAGGAACACACAGGTAATACTTGTAGATAGATGAGTGAATGTCAGGCCTTAGATCCCTGTAGAACCCCAGGATTCTCTGTCTAGCCTCCCCAACTCTCACCGGTTCTCCTCGCCCTCCAGTAGCTTGCGGTAGGTGGCAATCTCCATGTCCAGGGCCAGCTTGACGGTCAGCAGATCCTGGTACTCACGCAGCATTTGCGCCATGCCTTGCTTGGATTGCTGCAGGGCAGCCTCCAGCTCTTCTTGCTTGTGTCGAGCATCCTTGAGGGCAAACTCACCACGTTCCTCGGCCTCAGCAATGGTGGTCTCCAACTTGCCATTCTGTGGGCAGTAGTGAGCTGTGAACTGGAGGAAAGGGCCCACAACCAGCCCTACCTTCCTGCTCACTCATACTACAGCACACACCTGGGAAGCTTAAGGTGGCTCCACTGGTACCATCTTCTTCATCAAACTCCAGGGAATCCCAAGGGTTAAACACATACGTGGATTTGGAGATCCAATGCCTAGCTTTCAATTCTGTCTGCCACTTACTAGCTATGTGGCTTAAGCTGAATCAATCCTTCTAAGCCCAAATCTCCTCTTCTCTAAAAGATCAATGATCTCAAGACCTACTTTATAGGGCTATTGCCAGAAGTCTTAGCATAGAGGCTAGCACTAAGTGCTTAATAAATACTACTATGATTGCAATCATGTGTGTGTATATGCATGTGTACACACACATGCACACACATCAGTCCTGGGGCTTGAACTCAGGCCTGGGCAATGTCCCAGAGCTCTTTTGTTCCAGTCTAGTACTCTACCATTTGAGCCTTAGCTCTACTTCCAGCTTTTTGTGGTTAATTGGAGATTAGAGTCTCATAAACTTTTCCCATGCAGGCTGGCACTGAGGCAAGATCCTCAGATCTCAGCTTCCTTAGTAGCTAGGATTACAGGCATAAGCCACTGGTGTTGGTGACTAGAGGCTCTAAGATCATAGGATCCTGGTCAAATTCCCAAATGCCAGGCAGCTGACAAGGACCAATAACTTGCCTTTAAAACAGAGACCCTACTTAGTCATCCTAGAGGCCACTGGCTACATGATCCAAAGGCCATGAGTTTGGGGAGGGATAGTCTGGTTCCAAAGGACCTGAATCTGCCTTGAGCAGCTGCCAAACACTACTTGGCATTAGAGAGCCCCTGCTTTGGGGCTCCTACTGAATTGGATCTTGAATCCCTCCTCCCCCTAAGGATCTATGTGCTTGGTTCCTGTAGTAAATATTATGGAATATTGACATAGTGTGTGTGTTATTGAATACTGACTTAGTGAGTACTGACATGGTGTTATTAAATACTGACATGGAGTTTTATTGAATACTCACATAATGTGTTATTGGTTATTGACATAGTAGACTATTGAGTAGGAATATATTGAATGTATGCATGCTGTGAATTAATATGAGATGTTAAGCTGTAAAATTAGGAGTTGAGTTAGAAGTTAGAACTATGGACGATAGAGATAAAAGCCATCACCAAGGCAACTAGTCCACCAGATAACCAGACCCAGCCAGAGGCAAGCCAGCTGTGCCCTCATCGATGTGACCAGAAGCAATGCTGCCATTGAAGCATCCCTGATAATCAGATAGCCAGAAACGAAAGGCCCAGCCTAAAACAAAGAAAAACCTAGGGCATCAGAGACTCAGCGAGGTGACCTCACGCGACTGACTCTCTGCTGGAGCCAGTGGCTTCTCCCTTCAGTGACTTGGAGCAGCCTGGAGGACACCCTTGGTGGACTTTGCTTGACCTCCCGACCAAGTGATGTGCCCTGTGAGCTTCCCTGTGTGTGGGACACACTTAGTAGAATTAGGCATAAGAGTAAGTTATTGGTATGTGGGACACACTTAGTGGAATTAGGCATAAGAGTAAGTTATTGGTATGGATTGTATTTGAAGTGTTTAAATAAAGTAAAATTTATGAAATCTAAGTGTGCTGCTATCCATTTGCAAATTCAGCACAGTTCCTAGCTGATAGCACTATTGGGAGGTGGTAGAACCTTTAGGAGGTGTGGCCTAATCAAAGTAAGTTAGGTCATTGGAGGTATGGCCTTGAAGGAGATATGGGTACCCAGTCCCATTTCTCTCTCTCTCTCTTTTTGCTTCTTTGCTTCCAATAGGTAAGCTGTTTTTCTTCACTCTATGCTTACCCTCCATTATGTTCTGTCTGCCCATGGGCCAGAAGCAATAACACTATGTAGCCATGGCCTAAAACCTCTAAAACTGTGAGCAGAAACCAATCTTTCCCCCTCAGTGTTGGTTTTCTTAGGTATTTTTTTCCACAAAGATAGAAAACTGAGTGTTGGATATGGTAGAGGCTGCAAGGTTGGAAAAACATTATTCATTCTTCTGAGCCTCACCTCCTGGCCTGAAGGCTGGTCCCCTTCAGGGGGTGACTCATAGGCTCTTCTTCTGTGCCAGCAGGCAGCCTCACCCTTGGGTAAATAAGCCTTCAGGGCCCAAGAGAGGATGTTTGTGAGTCCCATCCCCCATCTCATCTGGAAATACATTTTCTGAAGCTTCAGTATGTGTCATCTGCCCTCTCTCTCCATGGCCAACAACTTCTCAGGCTGAGCTGCAATGATCACACCTGTGCTCCATCAGTACACTGCAATCCAGCTTCCAGCAAAATGCCTCCATGGGCCTCATGTCTGGGACCTGAGTCCCTATCATGTACCAGGTGCCGGAAGAGAGGACAGGTGAACCAGGCAGGGAGATCCGGCTCTGTGGGGTGGGGGAAGGGACAGTGTACCGTATAACTTCACAATAAGACAGCATGCCAGAAAGGGATGGGTGCTTCAAACAGCTCCCGATGGACTGCTGACATAGTGGCTGGGTGTTTGAAGAAGCCATCACCCAGCCATCCTAAACTCTAGGTATGAGAAAGGGACAGCTGCAGGTAGAGGGAAAGCAAGTACAAAGGCCCTGAAGCATGAACATGCTTGGCTCAGGCTGGATCCAAGAAGCAGGCAAGGATGGCCAGAGTAAGGGAGAGCAACCAGGGGAAGGGAGATCAGGGTTAGGGAGGAGCTTTGGGGACATATGAAGGGTCTCTGTTGGCTTCAGTCTCTCCTAGGAGCCATGTGCACTCCCATTTCCCAGACTACCCCAGAGCCAGCTCTAAGTAGAATGCTCAGTGTGACTGTGGTATGATCTCAGTCTGAGATCTCTTCTGCAGACTTTATACTCAGCCAGGACTCTTATTTTTCTGGCTTCAAGCCAGAACCCAAACAAGAGCATTCTTCCCTAAAGGCCTCACCAGGCTAGAAACAGCCTCAACCCAAGGAGGGTTGCATGGAACCTCTCCCCTTCTGCCTCTAGGTCTCACCCTGAGCTTGGCCTTGTTGGCTGCCTCTCCTGTGCCCCCAAGGAGCAAGGAGCAAGGGAGGTGCAGGGAGAGAGGCTCATACACACCTGATTCTTGGCGTTTTCGATCTCGGCCTGCAGCCTCTGGATCATCCTGTTCAACTCTGAAATCTCGTTGCGGGTGTTCCGGAGGTTATTCCCATGCTCCCCAGCCTGGGCCTGGAGAGTCTCAACCTGCAAGGGCAATACAGAGGAGGATGGATGGGGAGTGGGGGGAAGAGGGTGAACCTCTCCCTATCTGAGGAAAACCCCACCAGCCTTCATTCCACAGAAGGACAGTCCAACTCCAAGCCCATCACCACCCAATTCCCACAGACCAAACTACCGGGCGGTGGGATGGACAAGGGTTCTGTCCCTTGCTAACTAGTACAGTGAGGACCTATATACATCTTTCAGGCCTTTTGACATTAACTCTGGAGTTCTTCACATTGCCCTAGTGCTATGGAATTACGGAAAGTCTGAGATGTTGACCATTAGCTCTCCCAGACCTACAGATGTGAAAAGTGAGTCCAGAGGAAAGGAAGCACCACCAGGGATCCCATAGCAAGTCAACAGCAACACAAGGGCCTGGGCCAGATTCTCCAGTGGGTATGTCTATGCTCTCATCCATGTACCCCAGAGGATTCCTGCTTCTGCACAGCATCCTCTAGGTGGCTATTAAACCTGCTTGGGCTCTCTCTGTCAGAGACACTGGTCCACCTCTGTGTTCCCTTCTATTCTTCAGTACCCATGCCCTCAGCTGTCAGCCTCCATGAAAGGATGCTTCACAAGGAAGCCTCCAGACTTAAGGCCCTTGGCTCAAGATTTAATCCTGCTCTTCTATTTCTTAGCTGGGTGAAGTTAGGTAACTTACTTAGTTTCTCTGTGCCTCAGTTGCCTGCATACTTAATAGAGCTGTTCTTAGATTAAATAAGTCAACAGAGGCAGAGCATTTGAAATACCATCTACTACCACTAGGTAAATGGGCCAGGTCTGCATAAGTACTGAAACTGTCTTGCCAAATGTTTTCTTTCATATTGGAAGTATTGGGATTTGAACTCAAAACCTTGTGCTTCTTCTATCATTTGAGACATATCTCCAGGCCCTTTTGCTTTCGTCATTTTTCAAATAGGGTCTCATAGTCATGGCCTGGACTATGATCCTGTTTATGCTTCCTGCATAGCTAAGATGACAGATTGGCACCACAACATCCAGCTAATTGTTGAGGGGAGATCTCCAAAAATTTCTGCTTAGGTTGGCCTGAAACCATGATCCTCCTGATGACTGATTTCCCAAGTAGCTAGGATTCACCATTTAGGGCTCAGTGGTTTAATTCTTAGTGCATGTCTATTGCCTCTGTCTTGTTTCCAAATCAAGGCTGTGACCTTACCCAAGGTGGGGACCTGGCTTTCTTATTCTCTTCTTCATGGGTTCAGAGAACGTAATGGCCTTAAGCCACTGGTACCTACAAGGCTCTGAAAGTCCCAGATGGGCAAGGAGGAAAAGAAGATCCCACTGAGGGCCCTGGCAGGAACAAGTGACCACATACCTTGGTCTGGTACCAGGCCTCGGTGTCAGCCCGGCTGCGGTTGGCCATCTCCTCATACTGGGCCTTAACTTCGGCAATGATGCCGTCCAATTCCAAGGAGCGGCTATTGTCCATGGACAGCACCACGGATGTGTCTGAAATCTGGGACTGCAGCTCTGCCAACTCCTACAGGGAGAACACATACTCAACACTGGGGCTTGGCCATGATCTACCCCTGTGCCCATACCTGCCTTGAGATCCCACTCAAGGAAGGGAAAGAGAAAAGAGGCTGCGGTGGCCTGAGTGGCCAGGCAAGGAAGGACACAGACCCAACACACGCTGAACAGTTCTTCCCCCAGCATGTCCAATGTCAGAGTCTGGTAGAATGAAAGGGGATCAAGTGGTGGAGTGGTACTGTGTGTGACCGGTGATGTGTGTGGGGATGGAGAACCAAGTCACAGCCCATGCTATAGGGGAGTTCTCTGCAGCCTTTAAAACAGGGTAAGTGGCTATATGAATGGGCAGGGAAGCTTGTCAGTGGGAAGTGTTAATGTCATAACACTTTTTATAAAAACATATCACTCTTAAGTGTACAAAGACTGGAAAGGTAGCTACAAAGATGGTAGCAGTAGGTATAATGATTTGTTTTCAGTTTTTTGCAATGAGTAGGTGTTACTTTTGCAATGCTACTTCCACAAGGAAACAATCAGATGTCATACATAAAGTTATATAAATGTAGCATGTGTCCATATGTGTATACAGATACGCAAAGTGATGACAAAGAGAGATAGGATAGAGGCAGAGAGATGACTGACAGACACCGACAGACAGACAATAGACAGACAGACAGGTAGGTAAGTAGATAGGTAGAATGTGCATACTAGGCACAGGAAGACCTGAGGCCCTGGTCCCTGAAGTTCACATGAATGTAGGCATTTGCTCTGAAGGGCTAATTGAGGCTAGGCATCCAGACAAAGATGAGGCTGAAGGAATTGAGAACTGGTGTATACTTAGCAGGCCCAGGCTCTGCCAGATGATTAGGCACCCTATCTTCTGCCTAAGGCCAGGGAGGTTTTAAATCCCCTTAAGGGATTTTGAAATATTGGAAGCCCAGTGAGACAGGAGTGCAAAGAGAAAGAGAAGAGAAGTATGAAGAGAAGAGTGACTGGTCAGTGGGTGGCTACATCCCCAGGCTCTCTCAGGTACCCCATACCTCCTACGTTGGGCTTCTCTGTCCCTCTACTACATCTAGTTCACCTTTGAAGCCCCTCACAGCATGGGCTCCTCTGATTTCTTCCAGGCTTCTGTCAGCCCTAGCTGACAAATGCTGCAGACATCCCACAGACATTTTCCTATAGGCCGGACCTGATCCATTCAGCCTCTTGGCTACTCCCAGCTCTTCCTAACCCCCTAATGCATCACAGATTCCCAAGTCCAGAAAGGATATAAAACAGGAACACTCTCCTTCCCCCAACACACATCCAGGGTGGGAAGTGACCATGTCCCCTTGAGGTCCTCACCGTCTCATAAAGAGTCTTGAGGAAGTTGATCTCGTCATTTAGGCTGTCCATCTTGGACTCCAACTCTACCTTGTTCATGAAGGCAGCATCCACATCCTAGAGGAGAGGGTAGCAGAGGAACACCATGTTTTCAGCACAGAGAATATTTGGTGTGTATAGGAATAATCAATCCCTATCCAATCCTCTGGGCCAAATACCCCTGGCCTATCCAGAAACCTTGTTTCTCCAGGCTGCCTGACATAGCCATGCAAGAACCGTCCTCTGGCTATCCAGGCTGTGAGCTACATGGGCAGCATCTGGACATCTTCTCAGGTCCAGCAACATCTTCTTGACTCCACTGGTAACCCAAAGCAACCAGGAGCCTAAAACCTTTATGCTTTATGGTTTCAACACTACCCTGGTTCTGCCACCAACTAGCTATGTGACCTGGAGCAAATCACATACCTATCTGCTAGCCTTAGCTTCTCCTCAGTCTATAGGAGAACATGTATCACCCAGATTCCCAGGTGCCATCTGTGATACAGAGCTGGCTGCTCGATTGGAAGCATGGGCAACTTCAAGGCAGGGGGGCCATAGATAACACCCAGGTAGAAAGGCTGTATTTCCTTGAGCTGAATGTCTATGGGTAAGGCTAGGTTTTATTAGTTTCCCTTGTCCCTGAATCTATACTACAATCATTCCCACCAAAGGCCAGTCCTGATTGGTTATGAGACAGGTTGCTTTTCTGTGAATGGATTTAGCAAACAGAGCTGCTCCGCAAGTGTGCACAGACACAGAACTTTAAGGAATATGTATCCCAACACTTTCTAAGATACTCTCAAGGCCTCCAAACTCCACTCACATGTCTCCAGGAGCAGAGAATTTTCCCTGCCTCAGAAAGCTCATTACCTTTATTCAGCAAACACTTTAGGCAGACCAGGTGCCACCCTGTCTGAGATGAAATGCTCTGACCTGTGAGAGAGCACTTCCTGATACAAGGTTAAATCTCTCTCTCTAGGGGGAAAAACACATAGAGAGAGGAAAAGTGGGTAAATACAGACATCATATTCCATGTACATATGTAAAAATGGAGCCAAGCCACTTCAGGGGATGGATGGGTTTGGGAGAGATGGGGAGGAGGAATCTGGAAAGGTTGGCATTGATCAAGATGCAGTATATTCATGCATGTTGAATTGAAATCCCCTTTGTACAACTACTTAAAGATAATACTAAGAACTCTTCCCCTCACTTCCATCTCTTGGTTCTAAGCCTAACCCCAGGAAGAAGTCCATTGACTCAACATGCACGCGTACTTGTCCATACACATGAGTATACACTATGCGCTCCTGACTTTCAGATCCCAGTTTCTCCCTCTGGAAGCCTATCACTCCTCTTTGTGCAACCCAGGCCAGATTTTGGCAAAAACCAAAAATCCCCAACCAGCTCCTCAGGTGAGAGGGGCTCCGTGGTTTCTTGTCCCTTATGCCTCTAGCCAGGGTGCACCTCACCTTCTTCAACACCACAAATTCGTTCTCAGCGGCTGTGCGATGATTGATTTCCTCTTCGTACCTGCAAGGGGGGAGAAACAGCCTGGTGTGGGCATAGTTTTGCCCTGGAGCCCCATGGAGACAGATGGGAAATTTGGCGAGTAATGCACGTGAACTAAAGGACAAAGGCTGCATCCAATGGGTCAGGGCAAACAACAGCCTTGCTTAGGGCCTGCACTGTTGCATACTTCCTGTACTCATTTCCTGCTCATTTCACCCTCACCACAATCCTGTCAGGACACCACTGTGGTCAGCAGAGGTAGGATTGGAAACGCAGAGAGAAAGGTAACCTGCCCAAGTCATTAAGCTGATCAGGGACAAAGCCCAGACTTGAGTCCTGGCAGCCTAGTGCCCCCATGTCACATTCCACCCCTCTGTGGAGTGAAGTTAGGCTGTACAGTGGGGGAAGATTATGGAGTTCAGGAAGAACCAGGCCCTACCCAGATGGACCAGCCCCATTTCTTCTAAATCCTGCTTCCTTCCAGGAGCCAGCTCTTGACTTTAGGAAGACCGTGGTAAGTAGCAACGAGGAAGCATTGTCTTGACCCAATGCTTATGTGAGCCCTCAAAAATGAATTTATAAAGAGCAGTGCCCAAGAGCTGCTGGAGGCAACAAGTAGAGCCTGGGGGTTGAGGAAATGGGCTGCTCCCTATGGGTCACACACACTGACCCCTCGAGGAGCCCTATCTTAGCGTGTCCATGCATGCAAAAAAGTTCCACTTAGATTCTTACAGAAGCTGTGGAAATTTCTGTAAGATACCCTCTCCAGCCTGCCTCTGTCCTGCCTTACTGGGCCCAGAGGATGCAAAGATTGGAGCTCCCGGAGCAGCAGTGCCCAGATCTCCCCTGCTCTCCTGACTCCCCTGTCAGCCTCTCCTGCAGCCCAGGCTGGAGCTCAGCCTGGCTCCACCAGAAGGGACCCTGAGAGCCTTGGGGTAGGGGGAGGTGGGTGTGGGGTGAACATGCACACATTCATATCAGTGAGTCCCTGACAGCAGCCTGGTTACCCCAGGCCTCCCTGCCCTGCCCCTGTCAGGTTCCACCTGCTGTGGATTAATCTGTTGACTTTTGCTCTAGGGAAGCAGCAGGTGGGGGATACTCCACAGAGGGGCTGTTTACTCTCCTCCAGTCACTGCCTGTGTGCTTGTCTCTGCTTAGTCACACAGCCACAGGCAAAGCACAGAGCGAACTCGCTGTCCCCAGTGTCCACTGGCAGGTGTGTCAGGGTGGGGCCCACCCAAGGTGCTGGCTTTAGTTTCTGCTCCATGGGAAGAACAAGAAAAAGCGAGCCCAGAAATCATCTAGAGGACTATCCCCAAACCTCAGGCTTCCTACCCTCTTGCAGCCTCCTTCTTGGCTCTGCTCTGGCTTCAGTCCTGGCGCCTCTGCCCATCACTAGCCAGGACAAGTTGTCCTTTCTTGCTTCTTACTCCCCACACTGTTTCTTTGTCCCCCTCCTGGGAGTTACTGGGCAGAGCAGCTGCCCACTCTGACCCCTGAGCCAGGGGACTTACAGAAGGTCAACAGATGAGGCACATATTATCCAGGCCAGAGATCCTTGAACCTGGCACTAGGGAGCTTACTTATTCTTGAAGTCTTCCACCACCTCCTGCGCGCTTTTCAGCTCCACCTCCAGGCGGCCCCCATCCATCTGCAGTGCCTCCAGCTGTCTTCTCAGGCTATTAATCTGGGCCTCAAAGATGCTGGGAAGGCGGCTGCTCTTAGCTGACTTCTGCTCCTGCAGCAGTGCCCACTTGGTCTCTAGCATCTTGTTCTGCTGCTCTAAGAACTGCACCTGGAAAGGGTACGGAGGAGGGAATTCTTGAGGGACTGACTATGTCACCACATTGGATAAAAGAGAGCTGCCCAGTCTCCCACGCTCCCATTGGCTGGTCCCCTGTCCAAAATGCCTTGTACTTGCCCCCATTCCTCTTCTCTAGACTTTGTTTCAAGTGTGATCATAAATGTAAGCCCGGGAGCAAATCAGCATGGTCTGCTAATGTGTGAGGATTTCCACCCACCTTTGTTTCCCACTGAGTTCTCTACCTCCCCTCCTTCTCCACTCAAGAGCCCCCTGTCTGGGGATGGCTGAGCCAGCCCCTTCCTTACAGCCAGGACATCTGTTCCTTCTAGTATTCTTTCTACATCCTTTTTCCTCTAGTGAGACCTCTAAGACAGTGTGCTAAAGTCAGTCCAACATAGAAGAAGCATCTTCTCGATGCCCAGCTCTGGGACCCAGAAAGTCTCTTAGGGAGCACCCAGTATGCCTGAGGGTGGGAGGCTTTGTCTAAGTCCAAGAGAGAGGACCTAGCCAATGGATATCATGGTTGAACCCCACTGGACCTAATAGCAGGCAAAGAAAAAGGGAACTGGCTTCTCTTAGGCCATCTAAGTCCCTTTGATCTACCCTTAGTTCCTGGGCTCAGCTCCACTTAGCCCCACTTCTCCCAGACCCACCAGTCAAGTATGTTTCTTCTCATCCCCCACCAACCACTGCTCCTAAGATCTTGTGAGTAGCAGAGACAGGGAAAAGACTCCCCAAATGGTTCTTCTCTGGGGTACTCACTGACGATTGACCCCCACCCTTTGTCCCAGGCCTATACAGATTCCAGGCAAAATCCCAGGTATGTGTGAACTCCTTTGAAGTGCAGACAGGGCAATCCACCTAAGCCCAGCTGTAAACATCCCATTGTGGGTCCGACTGAAAGGTCCCCACCTTCCTTGACCTAATGGCTTTTTCATTCACCTCTGCCTCCTTGCTTGGGCCAAAAACCGAGCTCCTGTCTCAACTCTCGGGCAAACCCAAGGGAAAGTCTGTGGCCTTCTATGTTCCTAATAAACAGTCCTCGCCTGTTGATGACCCAGTCCCATCTATTCCTTTTCCACTCTCCTCCATTTTCCTAACACTCACTCCCCTCACTGTCCCCAACTAGGCTTTCACTAAGGGCACAAATAACTTCACCTTCTACTACCAAAGGCCAAAGGCAAGCTGGAGAACCAGGCCAGGAGTAGGTGGGTGGGGCTAGAGACCCCTTCCATACCCCCACAGCATGTATTTCCAGCATTTGTCCCAGTGGCCACACCCTCTGACAATCCCGTGTGTCTTCTGCCAGGAAGGGCATGCCACCCCATCCATGGGCTCCACACAGCCAGCCTCTTTGAGGAAAGAGGCCCAGAAGAACTCCTGGCCTTGGTCTCTGGATCTTCCAGCCAGATGCCCGTGATACTGGCTTTAAGAGCCCCAGCCAGCCAGGGCAGGCAGCCAGAACCTGGGAAACCTTGGAGTTAAGAGAGAGGTCTTGCAGACTGAGGGGGACCAAGGGAGCAAGCAGAGTTCATTAATGGGGAGCAGGAAAGCTACAGAGCTATCAAACCCAGTATTTGTGGGAAGAGAAGCCCCGCTGGCCTCCTGGGTGCGCAATCTGCACCTGCAAGCAGTTTTGTCCAGCAGCTTGGGCGTGGCTCCGGGCTCCCTCCTTCCCCTCTGTCTAGCTCACCTTATCGATGAAGGAGGCGAACTTGTTGTTGAGGGTCTTGATCTGCTCGTGCTCCTCCTGGCGCACTTGCTGGAGGGTGGGATCGATGTCCATCCGTAGTGGAGCCAGCAGGCTCTGATTGATGCTGACCTCGCGGATACCGGCACCCACTGGACCCCCATAGGAGGAGCGCACGGCCATGCGCGGTCGTGCAGAGCCCAAGCCATAAAGGCTACTGCTACCAAAGCCTCTCTGGCGTCCCAAACTCAGGCGCACCTGGGGACTGCGACCCGGGAAGGCAGCGGAGCGCGAGCTGAACACCTGTGAGCTCAAGTGGATGGACATCCTGTCCGGACCCAGATGGATCCAGCAGCAGCAGCGGGAGAGGAGGAGCCCGAACTCACTGACCCCTGGCAGAGTGCTCCCCTTATATTGCGCAGCGGCCTCTGGCTGCTGGGTTCACTCAGGTAGAGGGGCGGGGCCGGGCTGGCCACAGGCCACCTTTCTTTGCCTCCAGGCCACTCCTTTAGCCCTCTTCCTCCTTTAACCCTCCTCCACACCTACCCTAGCCACCGCCTGGACTTTGTGTTCACACAGGAATGGCCTGCAGAAATATCCTCAGACACTGCCCACCTCAGGACACAGAAGCACAGCAGGGAACAGGAGGAGCATGAACATCTCTTGGAGACATCTTTCAGAGATTATTATCCTGCTGGGCAGGAAAGGCTTCCTGGAGCAGGCTTGGGAACAAGGGGAAGAGCCCCAGATTTCAGAGGTTGGAAGGGAGGCCAAACGGGAAGAGAAAAGGGAAGAGCTGGACCAACACTGCAACCCACAGGCTACTGAAAACGGAGAGGCACTCTCTGACACTCTCCCTTCCCAAGATCAGCTGCCCCTGAGAAGAACTGCTCAGGTCTTGAGCAATCTGGTCCTGGAATGGGCCTGACCTGCTGTTTTCCCTGGCCATACTCAAACATACCACGTTCCCATAGAAACTAGTACACACTTCTGGACCCGCCCCATCCCATTCCAACGGGGCCCTGAAACCCAGAGGCCAGTGTCTTCCAGCCCCTACTCACATTCCTGTCCACTTATTTCGTGAGTTCCTGTAGAGCAGAGGGTCACTTGCATATATCTGTGACACTCAGTGGTGTGGGTACAGTTCTGTGTGGCCACAGGTCTAGGTATATTCATAGGCTAAATATATAACTGCACACCTCAAAGCTCAGTGCCAGTAGCTCACGCCTTCATGATTCTAGGGTTGAGATGTGAGGATCTCAGTTCAAAGCCAGCCCTGGCAGAAAAATCCTTTAGACTCTTATCTCGAATTAACCACCAAAAAGCTGGAAGTGGAGCTATGGGTCAACTGGTATGAGTACCAACCTTGAGAGAAAAAGTTAAGGAACAGCACCAAGGCCCACATCTGTAGGCATATCTGTGTGCTTATGCTTCTATTCCCTCCAACAAATTCCTCATCACCCCTCTTAAAGGTCCCAGGCTGATGGTGGCTCTACTTAATGATTCCCTGTAGTTTCTCTAATGGAACCTGGTTGTACACCTAGAGCAGTAAATCTGGGTCAAATGAGTAAGTGGAATGCAGGCTCATGCCATTAGCTCCCAGCATGCAATACACAACTCACCTGCTTTACACTCACCTCTCCTTTTTCCCAAACAGGAAGTTGGTCTTTTTAGCCCACCTCCAGCCCCGCCCAATGAGTTGACCACAACTGTCACCTCCTACCAGCCTGCCAAACCCTTAGGGGAGACCTGGGCAGAGAGGGTGTGGTAGAATATCCTTCCTGGTTTGTCACTTCAATTTAAAAAACTCCTAAGCAAGCAACAGAGACCAATTGTTTAATTTATACTCTCTCTCTCTCTCTCCTCTCTCATCTTCCTTATCTCTCAGGATTCATCCTCAATTCTTTTGCTCTCTCAGCCCCACCCCATGTTCTGAAGCTGGCTGGCCCCCCCTCACCTCTCTGTCCCTATAGTCCCCCCCCCACTCTACTTCATCTGGAGTATTCAGTTTCCTCCCAGCCTCTGAGATGACTAAGAAGTAGGGCATTGCTGGCATGTTGTCACCCAGACTGTATTCCTGAGCCACACAGTTCCTTGAGTTCCATACCAAGGGAGAGGTTGTGAGGTTGTTTGCAAAAGAGAAAATACATCTAAGCTCTTCAGACCCGGGCTGCAGGTTTTGCTTCCTTGAGCAACACTTCCCCATTCCAGGCCTCCCCATATCTGCCCTCCCTGAAGCATTCTGGTCAGCTCCAGTGCTTGCCAGATTCCTGCAATCTCTACATTCCCAGGCCCATCCTGGGGGCCGCTCAGTGCCAGGCAGCTCACCCACAACCTCCTCTAGAGGGCTCCACGAGCTGCCAACACTGAGAGGCCTCCAAACAAATTCCTGCCTTGCAAGAGTTCATCCAAACACACACACACACACACACACACACACACACACATCAACACACATTTTCTCACTCCTCTTCTTCTGAAACCCAGCTAGGAACAACCACAGGCCCCAGTCCTTGGCCCTGCTCAATTCTACAAAGCCTGACCTGGACACTTTGGCCTGCAGCTCTGCCTTGCAGTGGACCTTGCTGCTGCTCTACCAGGGATCTGGAGACCTGCTTTCCACCTCCCTGCTGTCACAATTGCTCATTGTCTATGCCCTAAAATACGTCCTCCGATTCTGATTTACTTTGTTCATTTGCTTGGAGGCAGGGTCTTACTATGTAGCTCAGGCTGACCTGGAACTCAGTATCCTCTGACCTCAGTTGCTTGAATACAGGGATTACAAGCTTGCACTACCACACACAGACACATTTTAAAGGAAAAATTTGGCACACACTATTTTTTCCCATTATCTTGGAATGTGAATGCTTGTAATTATAACAAAAGCCATTCTGCATACATATACAACATTCTGCATACGTGTGTGTGTGTGTGTGTGTGTGTGTGTGTGTGTGTGTATGTCATGTAACAGCTACTCATGAGGGAGAGTTAGGGAGTTAGGAGGATGTGGTTTGAGCCAACCTAGGGAAAACTTATGGAGATCTTGTCATAGAAACAGTGCATTACTGTAATGTCAGCTACTTGGAAGTCAGAGGTAGGTATATCACAGACCAAGACCTTCCCAGTCAAAAACAAAGAAAGAGATGCTATCAGGGGCATGGTTCACGTGGTAGAGTGCTTGCTTAGCAGGTACAAGACCTTGAGTTTAAGCCCCAGAACCATCATCCCCTACAAAAGTAGGTGATGATAGTAAATAATAAAAAACACGAAACAGCTACATGACAGCAGGATAGTTTCTTGAATATATGAATCAATTAAAAAAAAAGGATGAATTCAAGCACCAGTGGCTTATACTCAGGAAAATGAGATCTGAGGGTCTCAGAGGATCTGAGGATCTGAAGCTTTCTGAAGACAGCCTGTGCAGAATAGTTCTTGAGACTCTTAGACCCAGTTAGCCACCAAGATTCCAGAAATGGACCTGTGACTCAAATGGTAGAATGCCAGACTTGTGTGAAAAAGTTAAAGGACAATGCCTAGGCCTTGAGTCCAAGCCTTAGTACTGGTACGAAGAAAGAAAGTAAAAGAAAGGAAGGAAGGGAGGAAGGAAGGAAGGAAGAAGGAAGATAGGAAGGAAGGAAGGGAGGGAGAGAGGGAGGGGAAAAAAGAAAATAAAAAAAACCATCCACCAGAAAAGTAGGCAATACATGTAATGTCCTAAGTGCTTTGAAGCTGTTAAGCCAGTTAGTTCTTATGAAAAACCTACCATTCAGATAGGCATTATTATCCTCGTGTTAAGAGGAGACGGAGGCACTAAGAATTAAAGTAAAATTACTCAATCTCACACAGGTCCTACGTAGAAAAGATTTGATCCTGGACAGTTGGAACTACTAGAATACTTACAAAAAATAAAAACAGATAGAAGGAAAATCAATTAGTAAGTATGAAAAAGTGCTTGACCTCATTCAAAAAAATAGAACAAGAATAGAAATGCAAAGCCACTCTTTTCTATCAAATGAGGAAAGCCTGAAATAACTGATACCAGCAGTCAGCTCTGTCAGCCAGGCAGGTAAAAGAAAGCCTGGTCTATCACCTGTGCAATTATTGATGTGCACAAATATCTTTTTTATTGTTAGGTGACGTACAAGGGATTACAGATTCATAAGTCAGGTACTGAAGTAAATGTCTTTGGAGGTCAAATTAGCAAATGATCTGAGTTGAAAAGGTATCAGCTCTTAGCTGAATACCAGTGCCTGACACCTGTAATCCTAGCTACTCAGGAGGCTGAGATTTAAGGATCCCAGGTAGGATGGTCCATGAGATTCTTATCCCCAATTAACCAGTAAGAAATCAGAAATAGAGCTGGTAGAGAGTCAACTTCTAGCAGAAAAAGTTAAGGGACAGAGAGCCCAGTCCCAGAGATTTTAAGGCCCAGTACTGGTACCAAAAAAAGACTTTAGTTCTTATGTGAATGAGTAAAAACAAGGGCAGTGGATGCCCTACTCTATTGACCTAAAAGTTCACTGCCCACTTATTCTACAGCAGCTCACAGAGAATGTACACAACTTCATGAAGTCTCGCTGCCATTCTTGATATCCAAGGAAAGTATAAATGTCTGGAAGTATAAATGTCTGTCAAATGGAAACTGAACTACTGACATTCAATGGAATGCTATTTAAAGACATGAATAAAATCTTTTTGTGTTGATTGAACTTTTAACCCTTACTTATTGATTGCAAAATTGCTGTGATTTTATAATAGCCTCCAGGGCACCTGCATCCAGCTATTTACTCCATGCATCCTTCCCTCCACTGTGATTGGTCCCTGCTGGCATCCAGGGCTGATTTACTCACTAGTACCACATTCTCCATGCTGATGCTCCACCACATCAGTGTGTATATGTGTGTGCACACATACCTGTGCTGGTACTGGGGCTTCAACTCATCACCTGAGCTCTCTTCCTTAGCTTCTTCACTTAAGTCTAGTGCTCTACCACTCACACACCATAGCTCCATTTCTGACTTTTTGCTAGTTAATTGGAGATAAAAGTCAGGCTTTGCTACCTAGATTAGATTTGAACTTTGATCCTCAGATCTCAGCCTCCTGAGTAGCTAGGATTATAGTTATGACTCACCTGTGCTTTGTTTCCACCCACAGCTTATTCAGGATCCTCCACATGTTTGATTCTAATACTTTCCACTTCCATTCTTCTGAGATTCCATCTGTGGTCACATGCTGGACCCTCAACTGATTTCTGTGAGGTCATACACTGCAGGACCATTTCTGAGTGTCTTGCTGTCAGCAGGTAAGTTCCTTAGTGACCCTAGCACCTCCAGCCTCAGAACCAACTAGTCCATTTTTGTCCTTACTCTCTTTCAGTCTTGAACTTGGTCA